CCAGTAGGACAGTGTTCAAAGTCCCAAGACAATTATATAATTACTTATCTTTAGACAGAGTATTATGTTACACAATATTGGAATTGAATAAGTCTCTTGAGCAAATCAGTACTGTGATTCCTATTACAGTATTTTCATAATGTCCTAGGTAGTTTAGTAAACCATTAGGAAGTTTTGACACTGACATTCTATTGGATCAAATAATACATGTGTTCTGTTAACTATTAAATCCATAAATATCCAATAGAATAAATTCTAACACTTGATCTCCACTGGATCAAGCTGATTACTAGAAATAACTATGTGTCTGCCTATGATGTAGCAATGTTTCTGCTCCCATCCAAAAGGAGTTGCTGCAGTACAAGTAGGAGAGGCTTAGTGATTATGGCTGAGAAAGGAATAAAGGCCACTTGAACAATCAACTAACAAACCCATGCAGAAGGGTATACCATGAAAGAGTCCTTGACTATCAAACTCATGTCTCATTCCCACTCCTCTCTCTGACATTTAAATACCTGCCATCTGGCTTTATATTTATTTTTAGTACCTTTTTTATGTTTTCCCCCATGGAAAAGGCTTGTGAATAATACTGTGGAATTAGAGTGTTAAGATAAAAATACTCTTATAGACATAAATTATCATTTTAGTGTATGCAAAAAGATAATATGGTAAGTAGGCTGTGGAAAACAAAGGATGCTTACAGCACTTGAACAAATGAACTAGCTTCCACATGATCAACAGAACACAAAAATGTGAAATCAGTTGATTTAGGTGGCAAAAATAAAGTCCTACACATACAAGGAATAGACACATTCTCTGACTCATTACAGAACAGTTGCTTAAGACAGAATTAGTCAACATGTGCTCATTCTGAAATTCTAAAACTGAAGTCATCAGTTTTACAAACAATAAGCGTTGCATACATCTGATCAGACTGAATGTGTATCAGACACTTGGCTATAAACTCCAGCCAAGAAAAGAAGTTACTATGGCTGTCCCCTCTATTTCCTCATCTTGCTTCTAAGCAGCTTGTCTGAAGTTATTTGAGTTTCCACAGATAAGAGTTTATTTCTTAAAGGTTTGACACTTATAGGCAGGGACACTGGAGGAAGAAAATGTCCCCTGAAAAAGCAGGTCTTACACAGAACCAGCTAACATTTACCACAGTCATGCTTTAAGCACTATTGAATGCTTCTTACTCCCATAAATCCCACTTCCTTAGCAGTGTGGTGTTGTTATCCTATTGCAAAAGTTTCATACCTTCTTGGTTATTTTGATGGGCAGCTCCTCACAGCACTGACTCTTTCTTCTTCTCAGCACAGCCAACAACCTCCATTTCCCCCTCCACTAGCCAACCTGCTCTTTTATAATACCCCTCTTAAGTGGATCCAGCTGTGGCCCATTAAGGGCAGGCTTGTTCTTAATGCTTGATAATTAGCACAGCTGTAACTCTTTAGGGGTGAGATTACTTTCACCACTATCTCTAGTCTCCTGCCTTCTATCTATCCACAGTGTGGGACTGAAAAACTGCTGTGACTGAAAACCTGCTCCCATCTATTACAGGATTATTAGGTAGCAAATCTACTGGAGAGGAAGCAGCTTGCACACACATTTTACAAGCTCAGTCAATTCTCTGAAAATAGCTCTGTACTTAGAAACTCTCTGAGATACTCAGCTACTACAGAAACTCTTCCTCAACAGATCAAGTGAGCTCCCAGTTCCATACCTTGTACTATTTCTAATAGTAAAAGATTATCAGAATTTACAGTAGAGTCACAAATGACAACTTCACTTCAAAAGAGAATTAAAACTTCTGCAGCTTGTTCTGGATTTCACATTTTTATTGCAAGTACATGACAGGTACCCATTTTGGCCAGAACTTGCAGCTTTAGCTTGCCTTCTTTTTAACACTTAAATACACATCCAGGTAAATCCATTGGAATATTCAGGAGTAGATACCTTCCATGAAAACACTTCATGAAAGGATGCAGCAGGTACCATCTTCTTATTTTAGTCTCTGTTTTGTGTAGAGTGCTGATGAGCCCCGAATTTCCATGGCAAGATCTCTTGACGAGGACTTCAGTATCCCTTCCTTCCTCTGAATCTTGCCCTGGTATCCAACTGAAAATTGAAGACAATACATTAAGAGCAGGTACTTTCCAAAAGAGATGTGGTAGAGTGTTTGTGCTACCTTGGCACTTTGTAACATCAGAACCAAGGCCAGAATAAAGCAGAACAAAACTTGTGATGTAGCCAAGAAGCCACAGGGGACTCTGATGAAAGAGGCATTCTATGATTTTAAACCTCACACAAAACTAAAATTATGTCCTAAGTGTCCTATGCATTCTGAAATGAACAACTTAAATGACAAAACAGCATAGCAGGATGGCAAGGAACCCATGAAAAACAAGGTAGAGTAAATCTGCTTAGATCAGTTTTGCAAATGTAATAGATAAAGTGAAGGAGTAAAATTCAGATCTGGCTGAAGTAGGAGTCACTACAAATGTCTGTGAGGAGAGGGACAACTTAAATAACACAAAGTTTCTGGAAAAAATAGAAATAAACCAGTAAAAACAGAAACAATATTAATCTTGTAAAATCTGCAAGTTTATTCTTGGCAACTACAGAAAAAGCATTGAATGAAAGGCTAAAGAAGATGGCAAAACTAAAATAAAAGCCACAGTGCAGTACTTACAGAAGCTAAACTGCAAGTTCTTTCCCAATGCAGCAGAAAAACATACTTTGATCTTGGGAGAATTCTTCTGAACTTAGATAGCCGGTCTCGACGATGGCAGTGACAGATTGCAACTCAGCCACATTCTATATTAGACTGAGGAGGTTTCTGTTACCACCATTAACTAACTGTCTTCCAGAATTCAGGACTGCAGCAAAATTTGTAAAGAGCTAGACTCATGATGACACAGCTTGTCCAGTAACCAAGCAGCTTTCACTTTAAACCTTGGCCCTACTTCAACATCTAAAGTGTACTAAAGTTACTCCTCTGATAAGACTTTCTGTTTCCTTGAAAAGAAAACAGCATCAAGACAAAACCTCTGATGATTTTTTGCATACTACAAATTATATCTGTATTTAGTGTCTAGCTTGGTTTTGGACAGTCTTTAAGTTCCCATTTTATAACAAATAACAAGTTTGACTGATTTGATTATTGAAATTTAAAGAATTAACAGGCCAAGAAAAACTTCACTCATCAGCCTTAAAATTTGGGAGAGTTAAATAAAATCATTTAAGAGCCAGGCCCCTTCTTGCCTAACTGGAGGTGTTTAGCTAGAAACTTAGTTTCATCAGGCTCCCTTAACAATCCACAGACAGAAACAAACAGACACATCACCTGGAGACACATATGTTACTACTGCAGTTTTATATGGGCGTTTCAAACTTCCAATATGCAACATCTTCTCATACACATAAATAATAATTTGCCCCTTTATGGATTAATACGGTTCATACAGAAGAGGGACAAAAAAGCTGGTACAACAAATACAAAATGGAAGAAAAATTTAAAGTACCATTACAGCTGTACACTCTTCATCAGATAAAAATAAAAATGAGCCTTGCACTTCTCGTGTTTGGAAAGTTTTAATACCATCTTTACCACATCCTAAATGTTTTAAATGTTATGGAAACACAAGCAAAAAAATTGTAGACAAGGAACTCCTTTCAAAATACAGAAAACTTTACCTAATTACATTTTTTAAAATGACTTGTCATTTCCATATTGGATAGTTCATTATATTAAAAACAAACTTATTTATCATGAATTCCAGTACTCCAAGAAAACTAATGACTCAACACAAATTCAATGCTGTAGTTACATTTTTTTTTTAATGACTTGTCATTTCCATATTGGCTAGTTCATTATATTGAAAAACAAACTTATTTATCATGAATTCCAGTACTCCAAGAAAACTAATGACTCAACACAAATTCAATGCAAGATCTTGCTTTAACAGTGAAAGTCTCACTTCATTTAAATGTTCTCTATATAGGTGTTTTTCAAAGATCTTACAGGTAAAAGACAGCTTGCTGATATTTTATCTTACAATTACCTGACCTACTAACATTTTTTAACCCAAAACTTTACTAAAAGCAATAGTGAAAATACCTACATCACTATCTGTGACATTCTAAGCCTAACCCAATTTAAACATGTTTTTCCAATTTTTCCTACTCTACAGCTTCTTCTTCATGAGAACTGGGCACAACATCCATAGTTTAATCAGGATTCAAAGGCAAGTACTGTTCTGCTGAATGACATCCACCTTACTGAAATAATGTGGGTTTTTTTAAAAAAAAGAGGGGGAAAAGGACAGGAAACATCCTGGCCAGTAGCAATAGACACACCAAACTTACCATTGATCTTTTGCACGCAAAGAATGTCACTTGCAAACTCTTACAGTGTCCTTCCCTCAAGCATTGTTTAGGGCTTTTGTTTTCCTAGTAGATGAGAAAAGATAAAAAACTCGATTTCTACAGCTCATCAAAGAGACATCAAAACAAACACCTGACAGAATCACAGAACAGAATCACCGAATATTTTGATTTGGATGACTCACAAGGACCATCTAGCCCAGCTCTTAAGGGAAGGCCAATGCAGGGATCGGACCCGCGACCCAGGTTATCAGCACCACGCTCCGGCCAACTGAGTAATTTGGGTTGGAAGGGGCCTTTGAGGATCATTTACTTCCAACTTCAGAAAAGTTCACTGGGGATTTCGCTTCGGTACGGTGACCTACGCTCCCCTCTGGAGCTATAATTCCCTAAACTGCTGCAAACAAGAGGTAAGAGGCCCTAAAAGGGCGACCCGCGGGTCTGTGACCCGGCAGGGCAGCGGCGCTCACCTGCAGGACGCAGGGGCTCTCCAGCAGGCACTGCCGCAGATCCTCCCTCACGCCGCTGCAGGCGCGCCCGTCCTCCTCCTTATCCTCGTAGTACTTGGGCATGGTGGCGAGCCCGGCGCTACGCTCCGCTGCCGCCCGCCCCGCGGCCACGGCCGACCGCCACCGCCATGCCGGGCGCCGCGGCCGCTTCCGGCGGGAGCAGGAAGGGACGGGGCGGCTCCGGGAAGGATCCCGAGCGCCTGCGCCGCGGACGGTGCCGGAAGGCTGCGGGAGGCGGCGGTGCCGGCCGGGCGGGCGGGGGTCGCGCCGCGGGCCGGGGCAGCAGGTGAGACCCTCAGAGCGGGGCGGGGCGCGGGGAGCGCGGCGCTGCCCGGCCCGGAGCTGAGCGCGGCCCCGCTGAGGGCGGGCGGGTGTTCGGCAGCAGCGGAGGCAGGGCCGCTCCTAAGTCGTGGCATCGTACACTGCTAAGGGCTGGAAGAGACCGTAAAGATCTTATGGTTTCAACCCCCCGCCGTGGGCAGGGATGGCTTCCACTACACCAGGTTGTTCTGAGCCCCATCCAACCTGGCCTTGAACGCTGCCAGGGATGGGGCGTCCGCAGCCTCCCTGGGCAGCCTGTGCCAGTGCCTCATCCCCTCCACAGTAGAGAATTTCTTCCTTGTATCTAACCTAGATTTCCCGTTTCAGTTTGTGCCCGTTACTCCTTGTCTTATCACTGCAGTTCCTGATGAAGTGTCCCAGCTTCCCTCTTTTCCTCCTTCAGATATTGGGAGGAGCTAGGAGGTCTCCACACAACCTTCTCTTCTTCTGGCTGAACTGCCCCAACTTTCACAGCTCATCTTCTTAAGGGAGGTTCTCCAGCCCTCTTACCAACTCCATCGCCTCTGGATTTGCTCCCGCCATTGTCATTGTTTATGCTTGTGCCCATTTTAGTCACTTCAGCATTGCAGTCATGACCTGCATTGCATTATTTTATTTGTACTCCATATTGTGTGCTAAATCAAGCGCATCTTCTGAAATTCTTTCTTTAGCAAGATGCTGCCAACCACGCTGGTTAATTCCGGGAGCCAGGGCAATGGTGTGCTGAGCCGCAGAGATGCTGCGAGGCACACGGCCGGAGCAAAACGCTACAAGTACCTCCGGAGGCTCTTCCACTTCCGACAGATGGACTTCGAGTTTGCGCTTTGGCAGATGCTTTACCTGTTCACTTCACCTCAGAGGGTTTACAGGAACTTTCACTACAGAAAACAGACAAAGGACCAATGGGCAAGAGATGATCCTGCTTTCCTTGTGCTGCTCAGTATCTGGCTCTGCGGTGAGTGCCGGAGAACACAGCATAAGGAAGAGGGAGGGAGGGAAAGTTTAGGGATGAACGTTTATTTTCCTTCAAATAAGACACACACACACAAAAGGACCAATCTGTATGGATGATCTTTTTATTAAAGTAGAACAGAAGAAAGAGGCCTACCCTTTTTGAAGTTAAGATGGGAATAGAAATCAGAGTAGGCTTGAGTAGTACTCTTAGTCTTGAATTGATCTCTCCATTGCAACTCATTTTCTTTTGCATTTTGAACTGCATAGTTCACTGTAACTTTACAGGCAGTAAGAAAACCCTATGTCACACGGCAGTGTTTTTGTTTAAAAGTACTGAGTATTTGGTTTACTTGAATATTATGGATAAAACATTGTTTTTACCATAAAGGCCCTGGTGAGATTCTGTACATTGCAGAATTAAGCTGTAACAAATTGGCTAATACAAATGACTGAACTGCAAATTCAGTATTGTCTCAGTTGCCTTCTATTAAATAGTGTATTCCTGTTCATAATAGAAAAACTCTTTAATGAGATAGAATTACACATGTTGTTTGGGTTAACAAGGAGTTTTTATAAAACAAAGAATGTTCTATTGTAGCATGGTCTAATTTTTTTAAAAAATAGTTTGGGATGGAGCATTACAATTAGAACCAAGTACAGATGAGTGTTCATATTATGAATAAATTGCATTATATCTAGTTTTTGGTGGGAAAAAACCCTGAGCTGTTGGACTGAAAATGTTGGGGGAAAAATAAAAGGAGGTTTCATAATAGGATATTTTAAAAAAACCCATCAGTTTAAGATCTCGTGCTTTCATTTCCACAGCTGACATTAATGATCTTTCTCTGCTTTCAGTGTCTACTGTAGGATTTGGATTTGTGTTGGACATGGGTTTTTTTGAAACAATAAAACTGCTACTTTGGGTTGTATTCATAGACTGCGTAGGTGTGGGGCTCCTGATTGCAACTCTGATGTGGTAAGTAGTGATTTCTGAAGCCAAGTTCAGTATTGCTGTTCAGGCACAGAGAGTCCTCTGCTGTTTGTGAGACACTTGGTTCTTTGTTTTGGGTAAATTTGCACTCAAGTGTTGACTATAGGTTTTATGCTGTTGTAATTGTTTCAAAATGATACCTTAAAAAAGAATACATCTCTTTCTTTACTATTTCCTCCAAAGTTAAATGGTCAGAAGGTCTGTATTATGATGAACATTCCAGCTTTTTTTCTTTCTTCTTGAGCTGGTTAATGTTCAGCAGTAATAAAAATAAAAAATAAAAAAAAGAGGATTAAAAAAAGAAAAAGCTGTTCAATCAAAATAATGAATGAAGAAGTCAAGTAGTGTAATCCCGAGGATGAATCTCTTTAAGCAGGACCATATACACTTGGCCTGTTCTTCTTGATGAAGATTGCAGCTAGTGTCACTACAGCCCCATCTGTTCTGTCTTGTGCTTGGCACCTTTTTTCTTTGTTGGTAGGTGCTGCCAGTTTTATCCTCTCCTGTCCAGAGAGCTGCAGAAGTAGGAGGCAGGAGCAGGTCATTTTACAACCCAGGCTCATCAGCACCGTAGATGTGTCCTCCAGCAGTGAGGGAACCATGAAATGACAGGAACCACTGTTTCTGTGCTGCAGCAAGGGGAGGGCACCAAAGAAAGAATTTTTAATTTACAAGGAACTTAAGAAAGCAAGGGCATTTAACAATTCTTAGGGATGGAGCTAACATCTTAAAGTGATGATGATTAGAAAAGGGACAGTGGCCTCAGGAACTCCTGCTTGTAATTGCAAAATGGTCTGAGAATGAGGCACAGAAAAGAAATGTAGTTCATAGATGAAAGGTCCACCTGACCTATGCTCCTGTCTGGAACAGCAACTCATAAATTGCTTGGGAAAGAGCTTATGCTTCCTGCCCCCATTGTCCAGCAGTTTGTGCTTCAGGATGCAGTCTCCTAAGCCAGGAAGACTTCAGCATCTGCTGGTTTTGCTCTGTATTTCAGTCAGGTTCCTGCAGGCCTCAATACCAGTCACCTGGCTCGAGTTTGGTTCAAGTCCCTTCTTCCAGTGCAAGCTCACCTTTTTTTCCCCCAAAAACTCCCCCCATTCCTAATCAGTCTAAACTTCTTGCCTCACCTCTCCTTACCTTGCTCCCAGGCTCTGCCTCTTTGCACCCCCACCCTTGGCACAAAGAGTAGGTCAGAGGAAGCTTCCATGAAAAATCTGGTCTCTTATTTCTGAGCATGTATTGACTTCTTGTTCCTCCTCTATATGGGATAAATATCTTGATGTCAGCAGAACTTAAGCTGAAGGAAAGAGCCTTGAGGCTCATTCAGTAGCCTATAATACCAGCCAGTGCACATTGCATTTCCACCTCTTTTCAGTAATAATGGGGCACATGTTATGAGCACTGTCCTGCCCTCCTGTCCTTGCAGTGCATCAGTTCTGTAGAGATCAAATAAACCATCTCTGTGTGAGGTGTGCTGATCCTGTAAGAGCACTTCACTGAAGTCATCTCCCTGTGTGTACAGAGAGAAGTGGCAGCTTGTGACTGATAAATTGTAGGACTGATCTCTTCTTTATAAAGGGGTTTTGTTTCTGTGTTACCTGCAGGGTATTTCAGCTGCCTGTAGCATGCAAGGGATGTGATGACACTTTTAACAAAACCATTTTAACAATAGTCTGGTCTGCATGATTATTGCGAGTTTTTATTCCCAGATAGCAGAAACTTTGTAGTGGAGAGTTGGGATCATGCATGACTTACTACATCAAACCTATGTTTTGTCAGTCAGCTTTATACATTCATATTAACAACAGTCTCAAATATCTTTTCATGTAGGTTCATTTCAAATAAGTACTTAGTGAAGCAGCAGAACAGAGATTATGATGTGGAGTGGGGATATGCCTTTGATGTACATCTGAATGCTTTCTACCCTCTTCTAGTCATCCTGCATTTTATCCAGCTGTTCTTCATCAACTGTAAGTAGAATACTTTGAGCTCTCTGCTTCAAAATGGTGCACTGTCAAAACAGCTGAGAGCAGTTACCTCTTGCAGATGTCATCATATCTGATTCTGTCATTGGGTATTTTGTTGGGAATACATTATGGCTGATTGCAATTGGCTATTACATCTACGTGACATTCCTAGGATACAGTGGTGAGTAACAGTGACTTCTTTTCTATTTGTTTGACTAAAAAGAAGAACATGTTTTCAGGCTATTATTTTGATCTTAGCATATTATTTGTAAAGCAGAGGCTTAGCTGTATTTTGAGGTAACTCTTTCTTTGTGGTAAATGAAGTATGATAGAAATGTAGCAATCCATGTTTTCAGCTGGATGGACATCTTAACCAAAGAATTTATATTCTCCACCTCACCAAATTCCCTTCTTGTATTAGTCCTGTAGCACCATAAATTAGTTTTGTTGTTTCTCTGCAAATGCACTTGAAGATGTTTGCAGTAGATAAAAATTCTGTAATGAGTTTTAGACCATAGTTTTAGGTAAAACAGTTCCCCAAGGCATTTTGAGATAACTGTAGGGCTAGTAGGGCAGAGATGTCTGAGGAAGAGAGCAGAGCAGAACTAATTTTTAGTGCTGCCTTGCCCCAAGGCAACTTTACATGAAGGACCTTTTTTAAAGAGCACTACTTTATACTTGCTTCAATATTGCTTCTGTTTCAGCATTGCCCTTTTTGAAGAACACAGCTATTCTTTTGTATCCATTTGCACTTCTCATCATGCTCTATTTGATCTCATTAGCATGTGGATGGAACTTCACCAAGATGCTTTGTTCCTTTTATAAATACAGAGTGAAATAAAACCAGGACTTCATGTATCTAATGTTTATTTTGTTTCTACCTTAGCCATTTTGACAGTAAAGAAAAAATTAGGAACATTTTGTAAATGGTTGTAAATTTCTCTTTATTGTAGATAATTGTGTAAAAAAGTTTGAAGTGTCCTTTTTTTTATTAAAATATTTACAACAGTAAACATGTTAGCAATTTTTTCCAAATACTTTCGCAGTACATTCCTAAAAACAAGTTACTTGTACATTTCTGTAGCTTAAATTTAACTGCAACAAGTCTATGTAGCATAACTCTTACTGCAGATACTATGCACATACCGGCATAAGCTCTACATTATGAGGGGTTTAAGTGACACCAAAAAGCAGTTTTATTGAAGAGTAATATTGGAATACCTTGCCTTGGGACTGTGTGAAAGTACAGATCAGTAGTGTTGCGATGGTAAAGCAACAGCTGTCTCTAGATACACATCTGTCCTCTCCTTGTATGAGAGATTACGAGAACAGATTTACTTCAGTGACTACTTCAAATATACATGGACAACTCTGGCACACAGAAGAAACAGTGATGAAAGGCACAATTAACATGACCCATATCAGGTTTCCAAAGATAGCAGCAAGTTTTAAACCCAATCTCTAGCAGTCCAGTGGGTATTACTACATCCACCATTCTGAGTGGCAGGTCAGTCAATGAACATGGAAGGTTTGGCTACAGGGGTGGGCTCATGGCAATGTCTGCAGCTGTGAAGTCCACAAGGCAGAAGTAGAAACTGACCATCACAAACAATACCTCATGGAAAGTGAAGATGACAGCTTTCCAATGCAATGTTCAGCATGAAACATGAGCACTGGGATTCAGGTTCCAAAACAACACAAGAGTAAACTGGTTACAGTAAGACAATTTCAATACTAGAATTTGATCTCTAAGGAAAAACTATAATTTATCTTAAAATACCAAATATGCTGGCAGTGCATCTTACAGTACTGTGTGTTTCAGCCACTGTTAAGGCTTGAAGAGATTCATGTTTCCCTCTCAGCAGATGCTGAGCAACGTTCTCCTTTAAACAAGGAAAGCAGTGAACCGCTGATCCATGGAAGGTGAAGGATTCCAGTCAGGATCTGCTCCCTTCCTGGCTAACAGCACAAGCTCCTGTCCTGCAGGCAGCTGCAGCCTAACTGTAGACATTTTCCCTAACAGGAATCCTAGCATCACCGATCATCCACTTCAGTTCAACAGTAAAAATACTTCAGATTTAGTGGCCTGTGGTGCGATGCTTTTGAAGGACTTGGGGCCTGGGTACCTTCTCTTCAGAGTTAGCGTTTTTCCGCTTGAAACAAGGCTTCATTCTCAAAATTAAGCTACTTCAACTTCCAGCAGTTCACTGTTTACAGCAGAATTTAGCAAAACCCTTTAGAGACCGCTAAAGTCATAAAGGTGACACTCAAGGACTAATTCACCAGGTCTCCATGGGCTGTGTGTTGTACATCAGCAACCAATGCTAGCTGAAAACACCAGTTGTTTAATAGCTTTTCAGCCTTATGCTGGTGATTGTAAAGATGATTCAAAAACACAAGGACTTTTTTTGCCCCCCCTTTCTAGCTAGAGTAACTTGGTCTAGCTTTTTCAGAATACATCATTCCTAGTAAGAGCAAACATAGAACCTTGGATTCATATATTTTAGGGGAGCAAGGCTTGAGAGGATTTCATTTTTCTTTTCCTCTACGAGACTAAAATAATACTTTCCAAGTTGGAGGTGAACTATAAACTACTATGATACTTCATCTGGAGCAAGTACTTCCAACAAAATACAGAGATTACTGAGATTATAATATATCTGGAAAAAAAAAAAAAGGAAACTGGTACACAGTTTCCAAATTTTTCCAAAAACTAATCACACTTCAGCTCATTCAAGGAACTGTGTTTCACACAGGCAAAGTATAAATTGCTTTGCTCTAAACTGACTCAAGGTATTTAAAAACTGCTTCAAAACAGCTAGACAAGCAGTGATACGACAGAACACTCCAGTCTTTTCTTGGTCCATGAATCACATCTATCTGAATTTTTCTAAGCCATCTTTAAGTACAAAAAAAAAAATACATCCATAGGAATTTTTTCCATCAATGAAAACACACGGTTGAGATGCCTGCAAAAGCTCAAAGCCTTATACAGTGCTTTAGAAACACTCTAATTATCACATCCTGTTCACATTATTTACAAAGTGTTCAGCAGGATGACCCACTGAATGAGCAAAGCAAGATTATACTGGCAGTCTTGTGTTTTCTTGGTCCCGAGCAATCCTGATCAGCTCAAAAAAAATCAAATATTCACATCAGCCAGTCTGTTTGGCATCCAGTATAAGAAGTTAATTTGCCCAGGTAATGAAGGTTTCTGGCTATGCCTTTGGTTTCACAGTTTGCTTTTCTGAAGCTTTAACAGCATCAGAAGGAGCTAACAGGAGTATAGGACAGTGCAGGTTTCTTTCAAACACTTTCCATTATTGGATAACTAAGATTCAGCAGCCTCAAGGGGATTTTAAGGTGACAACAAAACTAACTTGAAATTGAACACATGTAGGGAAAACTGCCTCAAAACAGGTCATAGATTTAAGATGCTATTTAAGATTTCTTACGGCAATATTGTCCCTTACAATGAAGACATGCAGGAGACACTGGATCACTGGTGCAGATCCACTCACAAACAGTACCCAAGCTAAAGGCTGATGAGCCCAGGAGTTCTTACTTCACTGTACATACCAGGTAGTATGGTGAAGTTTTTACTTTACCACACTGAGCTAAAGGCTGATGAGCCAAACAGCCCTGGAGTTCTTACTTCACTGTACATACCAGGTAGTATGGTGAAGTTTTTACTTTACCACACTACCCGGAAGTTCTTACTTCACCATACTACCAGGAAGGAGTCTTGCACCACTTTAACCTGATTTGGAATTTAAAGGTACAAAGCCAAAAATAGCTGTCTGCAGAAATAAATTACCTGATTACACCAGCTCTGAATTTACCTGTATCTATGAAATATAATTTGTATTCATTGACACCTTTATCTAGAGAGCCTGTAAGCTCAGGAACATTGTAAGTATTGAAGCAGCCCAGAGTATTTTCAACTCCTGCTACTACAGTGTAATAAAAATGCATCAATCTTTAGAAAACAATCCACTTTTTACTACACACTAGTTTAATTTGTTGTCTTGGATAAATTTTTTCTCAACATTTTTGAAAACTAAATATACTACTGACCAGTCTTGCAATCAATGTGGTACGGGTTCTGTTTAAATATATTAGCAGTGATTCATCTTAACCACTGTGAAATATCAGGAACAGTGATGCTTTTAGAATAAGCACACAGGTTTCTTACATAAATAGTACCAGTAAACTTCCAGACTCACAGAGAAATGGAAAAGGTCACTGTCAGCAAAAGTAACTACATTAAGAAACTGCAATATCTAATGTATTTCTGCAGTCTGGATTGTAATAAATATCCCTAGTTTAAATAACTTGCATCATTCATTTACAGACACAGCTGAGAAGAAAACCTAAATATTTTCTCAGACCTTTGCTAGCTGATGTTTAAAAAAATTTTTGATGGCAGGGCATTGTACAAACAAACGGGGCTGTAGCACCACAATAGGCTAGAGTCACATGGGATTCAGAGCCTAGACACCCACATTCCCTAATCCAAGAATAAACTCCATTTATGTGACCAGTGCTTAGTTTATGCCCACAACATCCATGGGCAACACAAGCTTTCCAAGTAACATTTTATTTATACCACCTGATGCAATCAGGAAAAGTAAACAAGGTCTGCTTGGTATCTCCTTTTTCTTGAGCTTACACCAGTCAGTCTAAACAGAAGGTCTTGCTCTGCATACAGATCTTGTCATCCCTGTGTCCCCAGACAACATAGCTAAACCAAAATAACAACATTGCAGAAATAGTTAAGTTCTTCAACTTGAATATTGCTGAACTGTCAAAGCTATGGCACAATTCTCCAACAAGGCAGAAGAGAAGACAGGTTGACACTCTAATCCAGTGGTGCTTGCAGTGCTAGCGAGGCAGCTTTAGGCTCCTGCTCCTTACAAGCCTATCATGAAAGGGAGCCCAAATCTATCAGCTGAGCTTTAACAGGGAAGTACAAATTCAAGACCCCTGCTCTAGATCAGGGAACCTGCAACAGGTTTTGTGCATCTGTGCCCTGATCACAAAGACAATAAAGGTCTTTTCCAACTTAAGTGATTCTATGATTCTGTGTTGGGGGTAGCAGAGAGTGTGTTTTTTCCACAGGGAAAGCTGGCCAGCTTTTGAGATGTCAGTTCCAGGAGGCTGGTTCACAGCACAACTGACAATACCCAAAGCCAGCATGGATGCCTCCCTCCAATGTCAATCAGGCACTTCATTCCTAATAAAAGGGAGGAATTCCTGCCTCTCTTTTTCCTGGCCATTTCTGACTAACTGAAATTTTCTCATGCCTGAGTCCTTACACATAAGCATCTGAGCAGAAGGACTCTTAGGAACAGCAGCAGCATTAGTACTGCAACAGTTCCACTGTGATTGTAATCCAGACCACGTTCTGTTCCTGACCGAATTTCTGATTCATTTAAGATCACTGTTGTTTCCCTTGAAACAAAAAGGCAGGCTACTAACTTGAGGCCAAATTCAGTTCCCACTATAAAGTTAGTGCAAGTTACCATACTGATCCATAAAGGAGTCAAACTAAGACCTTGCTCTTAAACAAAGGAAGAAAATAACCTGTAACTACTCACTAATGTATCCAAAATAAATGCTGTGATAACAGAGCTTTTTAAAAGGAGACCTCTGTAAATCAAATGTATCTACTGTTCATTCTTTTGATAAAAGGTAGCCTCTTGTCACTCCAAAGCAAAGCTGGAGAATGATTTTCTTCAGTACAGAAAATGAATTTGTTCAATCTAGGAAATGTTTACAAATATTTTTAGAAAGAACTGGTTTGGAGTAAAAAAAAATTCTTCTAAAATGCAATGGATTAAATCTAAAATTACTGCAGATTTAGTACATAATATGAAACAAGACATTTCAACATGCTTTTTATGTGGCTACAAACTGTACATCGTGGAATTTCATAGCCCCAAAGAAAAATGCTCTTCAGAACTCTGTTTATGCCTCTGAACATCATTCAGATTCTGTGTATAAAACTACATAATTTAGAAACTTAATCTTGTTTTCTTTTTAACATGGCAGTATATTTGAAATATGGTATTAATTTATGTTTGCATCTCCAAAGAAAAATGTAGAAAGATAACTTAAACTAGAGAATTCATAAAAAAACTATATCAATTTAAAATTTTACTGCATAAAAATATGTACTTTTCAAATTATTTTAATAAATTAAATATCCCTAGCATTTTTAATATATATCCCTGACAGTCTATAAAAGAGGGTTCTTGTTATAGAAAATAAATGGAACTCCGAAAGTACCCCCTTCATAAAACTTATTTAACAATAATTATATTTTTTTTTTCTTCAAGGAATGTAACAATATGTACAACTCTATATTACTATACTATCAAAATAGTACAGGTTAAGCGTAGCAGGGTTCTGCAACCATAAGATGGTAAAGTCACATTACAGTGGAGGACAACTTGGGCCTCAGTCGAACGTTATCAGTGTGGAGCATCAGTTTCTGGATGGATCAGATAAGAAGGGTAAATACAATCTTCTCATCTACAGTAGATTTCACAAGAGGTAGAGTTCAAGTGAAAAAGAATGACATTTGGAATAAGGTGCATGCTCAGTATTTTCAATTTGTGACTTGCTAAGGATGTCAGATTTTATAGGAAGAATTTTCAAGAATTCTTTTTCCTCTAAAGCAGATTTCCATGATCAGTTTGTAATCTTTTTAATATGAATCTGAAATAGAGAATCAGAAGAAATAAGTCATGGTTTAGTGTATTACAATTCTCAGTAATAAGAGGTAACTATTTTTAGTTTTAGCCAGAAGTCTGAGCTTCAAAACAGAATGAAGAAATCTCCCATTCTCCAGTTATGTTTTTCAATGTAATGTTCTACCACCTCTTACCTCATTGAGAATTGCCCAAACGGCTGAATTTTGTATCACTGAAAGCCGGAATGATGAAATAGGATTTAGGCTGGGGTCAACTGTTCCTTCAGCTACACCGTTTTCAAACTTCCCTGCAAAAGTATATCATTAAGTCCTGTTCACCAAACTGCAGCACAAAATCCATAACTTGTATCTGCAGAATCACAGTTCACAGTATCATTGTGACAGAATCACAGTGAAACCAGTATCATTCCCAAAATAAAAGGCAGTGCGTGATTTTGACATCAGATCCAGTTTTGCAGCAGCAAACAATATGGGGCACATCATCAGTGCACACCAATCTGAACAGGATTATACATAAAAATAAAAGCTTTGAAACTGTCTAAGGGCATTAACACCTAAACTCTGTGAAGATTTTGGCACAGGTACTCATTTAATATCACAGAACTAATATCATGCCTTTGGCTTATGTGTTTTCAAATAGGATTAAGGACAAGTGATATCATTCATGCATAACATATTCCTATTTAAAGCATCTTCAATGCTTTAGGATGAGTAAGAATTCAATTTAAAAGTCCAGTTAGACTTTGTAGTTAAGCCATATAGACAACAACTGTAATTTATTATGACAAAAAAAGTTATAACAGGATTGCCCAAACTCTGTCCAGCAACTAATTAAAATCCATGGGTAAAATTTCTCTTCCTTGACAACATGTATCCAAGCACCTTCCCCAACAGCCATTTGGCTGTTGAAATGCCAATCTCATCCTGTTATGAGACAGCTGATTGTCTGTAGGGTGGGTTCAAATCCAAGGCAAGCACACAACTCAGAAAAGCACTTGTGCAGTCACAGGACAGAGGAGGTGATCATACAAAACTTGGAAAGGCCTCTATTATAATCTAGGTGATCAATCCTGGCAGAAAAGCTGGATGTAGCTGCACTACAACTAAGAGTCACGAGAGATCTCTGTTCAGTACATCAGTCTCTGAAAAGAATTAATGGACACAATATTAAGTAAAGCCTACGGGGTCATGTACCCAAAAGTGAATGATAAAAACTCAGGTTTAGGTTTGTTTTGGTTTTAATAAAGATGTCTTTAAGAACTGCAATAGTGAGAATACACGTTTTTTTCTATGTTACATACCTATCCTGAAGTAACCATCCTCTAAGCGTTTGTCTTTGGTTTCTTTGCTTAATACCAGTTCTTCACTCTAGAACAACAAAGCACAAATGAGACATTTTATTTTGACATATGACTTTGCCAGAGAAAAACAAATGTGTGTGCACTCTTCTTATATATTCAGCATCCATTTTTTCCAAATGATTAAGAACAAGCCTGGAATATAATTATTTATAGCCTTATACAAGCAAACATTTAAAAAAAAAAAGAAAGAAAAAGAAAAAAAAGAAAGAGCAGCAGTGTTCTAGAACCGAACAATACCTGGCTTCAAAGAAGAAAAATCAAGTACTCTAAGTGCCCCATGAAGCTCACATGGTAATTGCCACGTGAACAGAACACTTAGCACATACTGGCATACACAGTATGAGACAAGCAAAGGCAGGACCTGCCTTCTTTCTCTATGGCTTAACAAGAGCTTTCTCTCTTGGACAAATGAAAACTTAGAGCTTACTTTTTGATCTAAGACTTTGGGCAAGATGGAAAGCCATCAGACCAGTGAGGGAAGCACCACAATTATCACTGCCTCACTATATGGATGGGGATCAATGGGAATCAGTAAGTTTTATTAAATGAGCACAAAAAAAATTGTAGAAGTACAACCATGACCCAATACTGAAAGACCCACTCTAAGCATTTCCCAGGAATTAATTAAAAATGCTTGGCAAAATGGAGATTAAATTGATCAGCTTTTTTTAACTTTCCATTCCTATTTTGACTAAGGCTGCTGAAAAAGTGGTGGGAATGTCTTTGGTTATTTATTTGGGAGGCAGGTGTTTTGGTTTCCTTTGTTGTTGGGGTGTTTGGGGCAGGTTTTTGTTATAGGTTGTCTTGAGGGATTTTTAGTATGCTGCTTAAATCCCAGACAAATCCAGCCTGGGGGTACTCTGGTTTCTAAGGTTTTTTTGGTTTTTCTGAATTCTACTTAAGGAAGATCAGGGTTAAAACATTTGAATGAGTTTATAGTTCTACTGAAGTCCAGGGTGGAGAAACAGGGCCCTGAGGAGCTGGTGTCCTCAGCTGACCTTATTTTACTGAGAATATTTTCCTCTGTTCTGACACCAGTGGCTTAGGAACAGATGCAGAATTTCCTGTTTACCTTTTCCACAAATTGCATCAATAGCAATAGAACCTCTGTATCATTACTTCCTCAAAGGATGCTCCAGTGAGGGACATTCCATAGCCAAGTAAAGCTAAAAAAGAGATGCCTGATGCACATTTTTGCTAGTTATCTTGTGCACTTTTGTATCTTGGGCTTAGATGAAGTGAGGGCTGCTGCTGGTTTTTGTGGTTGAATGTATTTCCACAGGTCTTGAGAAACAAACCCCTCAGATCTTATGATATATATCCCATATGTCATGTTTTATAATTAGAACCAAACTAACAATTTTCTTTTTAAGGATAGGAATAGTAAGAATTTCCTATTTTTGCCTGCTCTAAGGAAGGTAGACTGGGAAAATGGAGATACAAACTCTTCACAATTACTTACTTCAAAAAATAGATAAAAAGAAAGTTTAAAAAAATGTTCAACATAAGGCAATTTCAGCCTAGATTTCAAGATTCCTACACCAGGTATATGGGGAAAGGTAGAGATACTTTGCCATTTTAATACTAAATAAAATAAATTTGTCTAAAGTAACATCTTAATCCTCTCAGTCTTTGTGATAAAAATAGTTAGCTGCAATATCTAGTTGAAGAAAGAGAACCCATACCATCTGACTTAAACAAGAACATACTTTAGATAGTGTAGTATTCTCCTGTGGTAAAACTGCTCATTTATGGGGAAAAAAACATAAGAAATCGGGACAAAGGTACACATTCTGTTTAAGAATCTATATATTTTGGTATCTAGTGGGTTGGAATGTGTGTCAATCCCTGAACTAAGACTTTTTTACTGAGTCAAATAGCAGATTGACTTAGGTTTCCCATTTCCCAAAATACACAGGAGAGGGAAGACTCTTTATTTTTTTGTTTTCAATAGTAGCAATGAACTGGAAGAAAATGACCTTTTTCACCTCGAAATTACCAACAGCACCTGTAGCAAACTGCACCCTGAATGAACATTTGAATAGTTACAATAGTCTGTTGTGAACATATCCAGTTAAAAGAGTGAAAAGTTCAAGAACATCAGAACATCAAGTTCATACAGTTAAAAGAAGCATTTAATCTCTTCACTGTTAAAAAAGTCAATAAAGAGACTTTGCTTTTATCCTGTAATGGAGAAGACACAAATAAAAACATTTGTACCTGAAAAGGCAAAACTTCTACAGTTGTGTTTAGAAGGATGTCTCCTGGATGCTCTGGATTGCCACTGTGGAACAAGTACCTATAAATGAAAAGGAAAACAGAAGACAGTCCACATACATCCATCAGAATCAGCTGTGTTGCTGTCTTACATGTTAATTGTCACATACAGATGTTACAAGGATAAACATGATTTTTATACTGGGCCTCCATCAGCTGGGGATAAGATGCTTTCACATATCACTGTAATCAGAAGGGGTCAAGGTTTTCAGTTGCTAAAGAGCAGCTGGGCAGTATTTTACACAGGAAGGGAGCTTGCATCATGTGCTGTTGCCAGACTGCATTACACAAAGCTGTAGTCATTACTGCCTGGCACACACTGGTATCACCTCCAGAAGAAGGAGCCCTGCCTTCTTCAGCCTCTCCCCAGCATACTTCACCCTCTCCCTGTGCCCACAGGATGAACACTGCAGATCCTTTCTGAAATACTTCTGGGAACTCAGCCAAGTCAATATTTAGCCAGGTGAGTATTCCCCAAGTCCATGGTTCATTGCAAAATCTCATTGATTATTGTGTCAGGAATTCCCAACCCACATCCACACCCTTCATGTTACCTGAATTCAAACTTCTATTCCAAAGAAGATTTATTTAAGAAACAAAAAATCCCTTAAAAAGCCCAAACCATAAAAGCCTGGTTTTGACACACATAAAAAAACCCTGCACCTTTTTAAACTTGTACAAAGTCCCCATTATACTCACTCAATTGTGCAATTAACTTTTTTTAATTGGACAAAGTAAATATGTCTGAAACATCATCTAAGTCATCCCTATCAGTATCAATCAGTGAAGTGTTCAAATTCTAGCTGCCTACTCTGAACAGCTTTTGCAGTACTGCACATGTGTAGATTATGTTACAAAAGACACAGTTAATTCCTCTTTCTTTATATATGACAGGAACTTCATGTCATTCTGAATATGTATTATGTAAACCAGTAATAATATTTTTTTACCACTAGGTGGAATCAATGCTTGAAAATTGTTCACTACTTGCCATTTTTTCTAGTGGACGGGAGTTAATTCAGATTACTGTCATAAACTAATTAGATCCTACACCTACTCAGATACCACTTTTACAAAGACGAAGACTATTTTATTAGGTTTAAATGAATATGTAAAAATCTATCAACACATTTCAAATCCTTCTTTAATTGGAACTTAGATGGTACTTACTGTTAATTTCTCTTCAACATTAAATATGTCACCAGCCACAGACAAAATTAGTTCAGAAATTATCACTTGATTAAAATTAAAAACATTATCTCAATTTGCAATTTATTAAGATGCAGTTAAATTCCAGCTTGTCTTTATCCACTATATCTGAAGCCAGGTTGGAAACCTGCCATTAATCCATACTTCATAGCTACAAGACAAGTACAAGAAAACAGCGCTCTGACCCCAGCTCAGAAATGTCTGACCCCAAACCTGGGATACAAGAAAGCCACACTGATTTCTATTCCACTGGTTTCAGCAGAACTGCACAGTTGTACTGGAAAACAGAACTGGACTAAATAAGCTTCACTACTGTGTCTCAAGAAAAATAATTTCCACACGGTACTTTAATGTTAGGTTAGTCAATTCCAAAGTATCCAAGCTACCTAAAACAGCCACAGTTCTTCCAAAACAAATCTTGTGACCTTTTTCTAGACATTATTGACATCCAAAAAACCCCAACAAGTAATAGTAATTTTTTTCTAGGAAGATGCTTTCAGTGGACATCTCAATAGCAAAACAAAACTCTCAGGAAAGCTGACCAGAAAACTAAAAGTACATTCTGCTGTCTTTTGACCTAACAGATCTAACTAGTCATTCCTTAGTCAGTCAGGCATCCTAAGCAGTACTGGCCATTTTTTCTCTTGAAAACACTGAAAATCTGAAGGAGACTTAATTTCAAATGGAACTTGTCATCTAAGGTATTGCCATCAAAGACTCCACCCAAACCACAGACATGATGCTTTTCCTTAGCACTTAGTTCTGAGAAGACACACCTAAAAAAGCACAAGGAAACTCCCTGTGATCTGGGATGACTGTGCTCTCAATGAACAGTGATTAGCTTTGGAGTTTTGGATGGGTTTTTTTAGGGGAAGCAGTAGCAGTGAGAGCTTTGTTTGTTTGTGAGAGGTTGTCATTTATTTATTTGGGTTTGTTTGCTTGTTTTAAAAACAACCCTGCAAGCACACAGCCACAGCCAACCATTTCTCCTACTGTGCCATCAGCTTCGAGACTGAGCTGCAGCTTCCCCTCCTCAGCAGTTGTCACTCCATTAGGGCAATGCACTCCCGAGCTGGCACAGTGCCAGAGCAATTTACAGCAGTAATTAATCAAACCTGATTTCCATGTAATCAAACCTGCTATTTTAGTATATTTTCTATAACTATCTGTTAATCCATATGCACACACAAATGTAACACATGCTCATGTCACATTTTAAATTATGTTTAGAAAGGAAGGGATATTTTTATATCTGAGCCTTGCTTCAACACTTGACAGATAACACCTACTTAGACATTAAAAGTTACACAGATTGAAAACAGAAACCTAAATACACATACACAGTCAATCCATATCTGTAATATTTTGTTTAGAACTAAAATTTACCAATTAGAAAATTTTATTTGAAACAAAATTTAATTTATGAACAAACAGATATTCTACAGCTCCTAAAATAAGTGTAATTATCTATTATTTGTAAAACTTGCTTTTCTGACAGGGGAGATTTTCCAACAGAGATTCTTTGGAAATGGCTTGAGAGAGTAAAACTGATTTCAAAACAAAGGTCAGTTAAACCTCCCTGTCAAAAACCCTTGAAATGTCTTTTAAGAAACCTATCTTTACCTCCCCAAACCTTTTGGGTTTGTGCTCTTTATATGCCAAGACCTTTTTTAAAAACTTGCTGTTACACTAGATATTTAACTGAATGAGAGATTATTATGGGTTTCTCCCTCCGAGGTGGAGAGAAGATTCTAATGTTCCCTAACTAAAGAAATGATTTATTGATCTGATATTTTTTAAGTAAAACAGACATTTCTAAAAATCACAGAGACATTTGCAGGACATTTAGGGTCCTCATCAAATCACTAATGTAGAGTAATCCAGCTGATACCCATAGGATTACAAGGTTGTTTCCTTTTATTTAATTCCTACACCAGTAGTAAGATGTCTGGCCCAGTCCTTTTTTCTTTCAAGAGAAACACTGGTTTATGACTGGACTGAATGACCTTAAATGTCTTTTCCAACCTAAATGATTCTATGGCTCTACAGTTTTCAAACTATGATAGGTATTTCTCAATACAGATAGTGAAGGACTTGGGAGTAGCTTTGCTTTCAATTGCTAAATTATCTTGACATCTGTCTTGGGATTTACACATAGACAGGCCATGTAAACAGTAAAATTATATGCCTTTTCTCCCTAATTACTTAACATTTTTCTTAGGGTAGAATCACTAAGATTTCCTTGTCTACCTGCTGCTTAAACCTAACACCTTCTGAAGCATTCCTTCAAATAAGAATTCTGAAAGCAATGGATCTGTAAATAGAGTAATCCCAACCAAACACAAATTCACCTAAAATTAAAAAAAACAAACCCTATTATTGCCTTATGGAAAAATACAAACATGAACGCAACTGTATATTTTTGATCGAAGTAGTCAGAGAAAAGTAACTAACTTACAATTGCTAAGTATAATATTAAAGTATCTGAATATAAAAGAACCTTTTCTGCTGGCAGTGTCTTTTTAAAGAGTCACAGGTCAAAGATAATAACCAGCTACTCTAGATATTCAAACACAGAGAAAAACCTCCTCTCTACCAGAAGTAATTAAATCTAGGAACTCACATACATTCTGCTCCTGACCTCAATGCAGTATGAGAATAAGAGAAGGCTAGGTGTTAATATTTCTTGTAGCATTAAAAAATACACAGAATTTCAAGAGCACTGAAGGTTTCAAAAACAAACAGAAAAAAACAACACGAATCGCCAAACTAAATGGAGCAAAGTCAAAGCTACAAAGAAAACTCCTGTTTTCATACTCAGTGACTTCAATATTTACCCAGTTTGAGGGGTTGACTAGTTGCCATGGAGCTAGATACACATCTAAAATCAAGACAAAGAGAGGGGAAACCCCCCCAGCCAATAAGCTGAAACAAATATTCATACACATCCTAACACACAAAGGGAGGGGAAGGTGTGATTATTATTTATACACTGACAAAAGACACCATTAGTTTGCCAATGTAGTCAACTATTTAGTGTACTTTAAAAGCCCACACTCAGGTTCAGAACCCCTCCAATAGTGAGCACCCAGAAAGATTCTCACCTTTTGTAACCTCCCCCACAAGATGGATAAATCAATATTACTAATCTGAACTGCTAACTTTAATACTCTTTTAACAGCTAAATTTTTTCATCACCAGTGTTTTCAAAAATAACCTATGCACACCTCTACCCATCCCCTATCTTGCTTATAAAGGGATGAATCTCTCTTCTGTCTCTCACATCCAAGCATATTTATGCCCAAAAAACTATTATTCTCTCTATTACCGCATTTGATTTCTTTTAGGTGTTAAAAAATCTTCTATATTTTATTTAAATAAATTGCCAATTCTTTTTATTTATAGAAATGTTCTAATTACATGTTCTAATAATAGAATGGAATACACATCAATTTTATTGTTAAATTATGTCATTTTTATAAAAGGAAACAATATACAAAAATACTTTAAACAGCACAATTCACATCCACTATCAATATATGTGGGTTTTGTTTTGAAGGAAACAAGTTATTTGACCTGATACTAAACCTGATTCTAAGAATATAAGAATGCAGGCTTTGTGCTCTGTAAACATCAGGAATCAAATCCTTTCCTTCACATATCCCCCTATGTCTCTTTTTTAGCAATCTGATGTATTTTATATCCCATTTTCAGAAAAGGAAAATAGGTAGGAAGGCAGAGAGGAAATGTTTCCTTCCACTTTTGAACAAATTATCCATAGCAACATGCAGCCTTAGAGTTTTTAATTCTGCA